GAGCCTATCCCGATCCCGAAAGAGCCCACCCCGAGCCCTACCGAGAACCCACCCCCCAAGCCCTACCGAGAACCCACCCCCCAAGCCCTACCGAGAACCCACCCCCCAAGCCCTACCAAAACCCACCCCCAAGCCCTACCGAGAACCCAGCCCCAAGCTCTACCGAGAACCCAGCCCCAAGCCCTACCGAGAACTCAGCCCCAAGCCCTACCGAGAACCCACCCCCAAGCCCAACCGAGAACCCACCCCAAGCCCTACCGAGAACCCACCCCAAGCCCTACCGAGAACCCACCCGAAGCCGGACAGACACCCACCTGGAGCCCGAACAGTCACCCACCCGGAGCCCGACCAGTCAAACACCCGGAGCCCGCCAGTTTAGTAAACCGGAGCCCGCCAGTTGAGTGAACCGGAGCCCGCCAGTTGAGTGAACTGGAACCCGTCAGTTGAGTACCTGGAGCCTGCCCCGAGCCCGACCGAGAACCCACCCAGAGCCCTACCGAGAACCCACCCTGATCCCTACAGAGAACCCACCCCTAGTCCTACCATGAAAACACCCTGAGCCCTACAGAGAACCCACCCTGGGCCCGACCAAGAACCTACCCCGAGCCCTACAGAGGTACCCCAAGCCCGAGAGCCCATCCCGAACCCGAAAGAGCCCACCCTGAGCCTGACCGGGAGCCAACCCTAAGTCCTACCAAGAACCCACCCCGAAGCCCTACCAAGAACATACCCGAAGCCGGACAGACACCCACCTGGAGCCCGAACAGTCACCCACCCGGAGCCCGACCAGTCAAACACCCGGAGCCCGCCAGTTTAATAAACCGGAGCCCGCCAGTTGAGTGAACCGGAGCCCGCCAGTTGAGTGAACTGGAACCCGTCAGTTGAGTACCTGGAGCCCGCCCCGAGCCCTACCGAGAACCCACCCCGAGCCCTATCAAGAACCCACCCCGAGCCCTACAGAGAACCCAACCCCCCGAGCCCTACCAAGAACCCACACCCCCCCCGAGCCCTACCAAGAACCCACACCCCCCGAGCCCTACCAAGAACCCACACCCCCTCCGAGCCCTACCAAGAACCCACACCCCCCCGAGCCCTACCAAGAACCCACACCCCCCCGAGCCCTACCAAGAACCCACACCCCCCCCGAGCCCTACCAAGTACCCACACCCCCCCCCCCCCCCCCCGAGCCCTACCAAGAACCCACACCCCCCCAAGCCCTACCAAGAACCCACACCCCCCCAAGCCCTACCAAGAACCCACACCCCCCCCAAGCCCTACCAAGAACCCACACCCCCCCCCAAGCCCTACCAAGAACCCACACCCCCCCCCCCAAGCCCTACCAAGAACCCACACCCCCCCCCAAGCCCTACCAAGAACCCACACCCCCCCAAGCCCTACCAAGAACCCACACCCCCCCAAGTCCTACCAAGAACCCACACCCCCCCAAGTCCTACCAAGAACCCACACCCCCCCCCCCCCCAAGTCCTACCAAGAACCCACGCCCCCCCAAGCCCTACCAAGAACCCACACCTCCCCAAGCCCTACCAAGTACCCACACCCCCCCAAGCCCTACCAAGAACCCACAACCCCCAAGCCCTACCAAGAACCCACACCCCCCCCAAGTCCTACCAAGAACCCACACCCCCCCAAGCCCTACCAAGAACCCACACCTCCCCAAGCCCTACCAAGTACCCACACCCCCCCAAGCCCTACCAAGTACCCCCCCCCCAAGCCCTACCAAGAACCCACACCCCCCAAGCCCTACCAAGAACCCACCCGAAGCCGGACAGACACCCACCTGGAGCCCGAACAGTCACCCACCCAGAGCCCGCCAGTTGAGTACCTAAAGCCTGCCCGGAGCCCCGACCGACAACCCGCCCCGGAGCCCCGACCGACAACCCGCCCCGGAGCCCCGATCGACAACCCACCCCGGAGCCCCGACCGACAACCCACCCCGGAGCCCCGACCGACAACCCACCCCGGAGCCCCGACCGACAACCCACCCCGGAGCCCCGACCGACAACCCACCCCGGAGCCCCGACCGACAACCCACCCCGGAGCCCCGACCGACAACCCACCCCGGAGCCCCGACCGACAACCCACTTGGGGCCCGACAGAGAACCCACTTGGGGCCCGACAGAGAACCCACTTGGGGCCCGACAGAGAACCCACTTGGAGCCCGACAGAGAACCCACTTGGAGCCCGACAGAGAACCCACTTGGAGCCCGACAGAGAACCCACTTGGAGGCCGACAGAGAACCCACCCCGCGCCCAACCTTTCATGGAGAAAATTGAACACCAGGCAACAAAAATAATTGCAGAATGAGGTCTAGTTTCATACCATGAACGGTTGAGGGTCACAGGGCTAACAACACTGCAAACTAGGCATGCCAGGATGGATCTCACCGAAACTATTAAAATATCGACTTGAATCGACTTGAGAATGGTCCAGGACGGACCGAAACTCGTCGTCCCTTCAACTTCTAGTGTGTGGTCTGGTCAACATACTTCAGCCACGTTATTGTGACTCATCGCCTGCCTATTAAAATATTGAACAGTTTCGAAGATATGGATCCAGAGAACAACTTCAAAAGGTCAGATGGAACACAAACAAGGAACAACGGTTTCAAGTCCAACAAGCCGCAGTGTAGGACTGAAAACATAAGCTATATTTTCACCCACAGGGTTATAAACCCATGGAACCGCCTATCTGCTAAAGCAGTAAATAACATAACACTTGAATTGTAAAATCCAATTTGAAAAAAAATCGGAACAAATGGGGGACCTGATCTGCTACCAGAAATTTTAGCCAAATATCCCCAGTCTGCTAACTGTAGGTAGTAACCGAATGATTGTAACCATCCACCGCTGCCCACTGGATGGGGGGCGGTGTGCAGGACAAACATAAATTGTGACACTAGCTCTCCACATATGTCAGGTGCTTAATTTAGAACCTGTACTTCAGGTCGATCTCGAACCCATTGTTGATGTGACAACTTACATTGAATTTTGTAACTAGCTCATCAACATTGTAACTTGCTTAGCTAAATGAATTGTGGGGTTCAGTCCCTGAGCCCATTATGTGCCTCTGTAACCCTTTCCACTACCGCCCAGCAGAGGTACAACAGGTACTCAGAGAGAACTATCAACATCAGAGGTCCGAGACTGTTCAACACGCTTCCACTACACAAGGGGCATAACTGGCCGACCCCTCACAGTGTTCAAGAGAGAACTGGATAAGCACCTCCAAAGGATACCTGATCAACCAGGCTGTGACGCATACGTCAGGCTGCGAGCAGCCGCGTCCAACAGCCTGGTTGATCAGTCCACGACCGGGCCGCGGGGACACTACATAATAAACGAACTAAACTAACATGATTCGATTTACATTTAAACGATTCTTCGCGGTAGGGGATCGTATTCCAGGGACCTGCTCGAAAGGCTACGCGTACTAGTGGCTGTACAAGAATGTAACAACTCTTGTATATATCTAAAAAAAAAAAAAAAAAAAAAAAAAAAAACATTGATAGGCATTGTTCGAAGCAAACTCCATACGCAAAACCCCATTATATTATATAATTCTATATACTGTGTATATATAAGATATAAATATGTCAAAAAGAATTATCACTCTTACCTGGAGCAATGTTGCTGATGTCGAAAATCAGCAGTACATGTTGTCGCGTTGGCGGCAGCGACGCTACTGACCGCTGAGCCTTTAACGACCAACCGCCGTTTGAACGCCATTTTGAAATTCCAGGCGTACTACCCGAAAAGTGCGTAAACTAGTATTTGCGTGCATTATAGGCCATTCCAAGAAACCTTATTGCTATGAATATCTTGTTATCTAACAAACGAATTATTTATGTTAATATTTTTAGCACATATGTTAAATTAGGCCATTTTTCATTTAGAGGGGGTATATATATATATATAGCTATTTACATTTTAAGTTTGAAAAATTACCGTACAAAATTGAATGCAAAGATAAGATAAGATTTATTTATACAACCCTGTTTGGAAATTAACTCCTTTTACAATGAAATAAGACGCAAATAAGAACCTCAATTAATTGTGTAGTGAATTTATGCATTTTGTTTTGATTAAAAGCTTAGGTAGTACAATGTACTACTTCTACTACTAATACCATATTATATATGAGGGGCTACTAAATAAAATTAAAGCACAAGCATGTTCACCTAATATCATTAGCTGACAGGTCCAAAAACTGACAGAAGTGTTGTGTTTTGTGCGTTGTATCGTGTTTGTGGGCATTCGGGTGTGTTGTGTTTACCCTGGCGGGCGGCGTCCTTACCAATTCCGGATTATGTCTATTACATCACTAAACTTCATTTAATAACTATATGCCTGTTAAATAAAAGATTTTAATTGTTAATAGCATTATATTGTCGTTTTAATATGGAACACGTACACATATGCGAAACGTCGAAAGCTGGTGTCCGAAGTGGTAAAAATATTAGTGTGCGATGTTGTCAATGTACGGAGTGTCTTGTATCTACCACCACCTCACTCACGTATGGTAGCTGCTCTCAACCATGCCTCTCACTTGGCTCGTCCTCTGCTTCGCTCTTTCACCCGAGTTGTGCTTGCTATCCTCGGAACAGTTGTTCTGCTTGGGAGCTATTACTTTGTTATTATTTCCATTATGCTACATGATGTCGGCCCCAGCTTTTATGTCTGATTTTGAATGTGGGTCTCGAGCATACTTGGACCGGTCCGTCTAATTACCACAAGCTACCACAAGCTACACAAGCTTCACTAAGCTTCCTGGCAATACGTAAGTAATGAATAAATATGATATACTTACTCATTATAATATTGGTGCTGAATGTACAACACTAAAAAACATAATTTTAATCTGAAAAAGTATCTTTTCATAAAGAAATTAGACGAAAATAAAGAGCTGGTGACGCCAAATCAAATCGATGATCCAAGCGTCGGTTAGATTAGGTTTGGTTAGGTTAAGTTAGGTTAGGTCAGGTTAGGTCAGCCTAACCTAACATATCATATTTATTCATTACTAACGTATTGCCAGGAAGCTTTGTGAAGCTTGTGTAGCTTGTGGTAATTAGACGGACCCACCTGGTTGGTTTATGCCTCTTGCAGGAAACTCTAATTTTTTCTTGAAGTCCACTTTTGTTCCAACAGGGTTAATTGTCCTAGTAATTGGCTTGCATTTCTTTTGCCCCACCAGAGATTGATACCTGCCACCTGCTGTGAGGGGCTCCTTCAGTACAGGTTGACTACACTTGGGTTGCCTCGCCCCTGGGCACTACATGGCACTTTTCCATTGTTAGGCCTGTTGATCGGGAGTACTGAATATATACGCTGTGTACACTTGTACTGCCATTGTGCTTTACCTCCTGCTTGTGTGGGTTGAGAATTAGCACTTTTGCTGAGGTTGTGCTTCGGTCATATATGTAAATGTTCTTATCCACAATTTTTCATGCCTTTCCTTTTAAGAGAATCATGGTTGGGGTTTGATGGTTGCTTGGTCAAGACATGTCATGTCCAGCGTGCATGACAGTACAGCATGGGTAGCTGGTGTCCCTCGTCTGTATTTTATATGTTTCATTTGTGTTCTCTATCAGGTTGTTATGCTTTCCTCTAATTCTGCATCTGACACTTCAGTTTTAGTGAATGTGATTTAATATTTTTGAATGCCATTGGCCATTCTTGTTGCCTCTTTTATTCATCCTGATGCAGTAGACCTTTCACCCTAGGGTATGTTAATGTCTATTGGTGCTGGACCTCTGTTACGTTCTAACCATAGTCGACCAATTTTGTTTGACTGTGCTTTATGGAATAGCTTATTGCAACTCCCCATCTGCAGCGGGTGATATTGCCGCCGATCCCAAGCTACTTTTACTAGGATGTTTATGCAGTCTTATCTTGGACACTTGTGCCTAATTTAACTCCAGATTCCTCTTCTGCTTCTGCTTTGGCCATCTAGTGGCCAGTTCATCCAGCCAAACTAAGCATCAAGTATATACCAAAGGATCTGTCTGATAGGCAACCGACTCGTTCATTTGCTATCACAAGTCAAGTGTGGCCCAGGCTGGGCTTGGGGAGTAGAACCCCTCCCCCCCTCCAAAAAAACAGCCCAGGTATGCTCCAGAAAAGGAGCCAGCTGCAAATGAAAAGAATGGTGTACAGATGGAAATAGAGAGATTGCTTTACAATCAAGTGCTTCATGTATTTTGTGGCTTCCCTGCCCTATTTTCTATGCTTTGTTTACCTTGTTATTGTATATTTTGTTTACTTTTACCATGCATATTCTGGTTTGCCCATTTTTTCTGGTGGACTTTTCATGGTTTTCTTCTTGATGGTACGGACCATATGTGATTGTTTTTCATTAGGGTGATTTATGCTCACCTGCTCCTTGTGCATCTTTAGAGGGGGTCAGGTTTTGTCCTTTGATCCTTAGTAAGCTTATATTACCTGCAAAGTCCTGGCATGGATTAAATTGGGTGGAGCCTGCCAGGCAGCAAGGACCCACCAGAAACAGACATTTCTGTACTGGTCTCTTAATGTCAAATGTGATATATTATTTCAACTTGTCCTCTTGAGTTGTCACGTCACAAAAACGATGTACTAAATTGCCTGAACCTAATGTAACCTAACCAATGGATCCATGAATAGAAAACGTAACAGCCCATCAATTTAGCGAGCCGCTGTCATTTATAATGCATCATATTTTGATGTTGAGGATTTTGACATAAAAATATGATGTATTATTTGAGAGGACTGAATAAATATTTGTATTTGTATAGGATGGGTTGATTATTTTATGTCATTGATTATTAAGGAATGGAATTTTTCAATTTCTTCTTTCTTAATTTCTTCTCTAAATTAATTAATATTTACCAGCTTATATTGCTTCTTTCAGAACCATTCTGGGTAAGCAGATGATGAGTCAAAATTATGTTTCTGAAGATATGATGACTAAACCACACATCATAAGATGAAGAAACGACGACATTTCTTCATCTTCTGGTGTGTGATTTGGTCATCATTCTGGGTAACAAGCTGTATTGTGTATTTTCAACATTGTTGGTAAGGTTTAACATGTTAAAAACATCTTGAGTGTTTTCTACATACAGTATGTGGGAATCAATTGCTGGATATTGTCAACTTTGTATTTTTCATTGTTTTATAGAGAATATTTCATGTACAATTTTAGTCTATAACAAGATTCCAAAGTGAATGATATACTGTACTATGTATATTTCAGGTATCCAGAAATCTTGGGTTTAGCAGTTCAGTGCCAGTTAGTTACCTGCAGACACAAACTACTACTTTCAGAATTGTTTCCTCATGTCAGAACAACAAAATAAATCTACTACAGCTTCTGAAGGTGTGTTGCTTATGAATATAGTTTAAGGTTTTGAATAAGTATTTTTTATGATGATTTTTTTTTAACTATAAAATTTACCAGTAGTTATAATTTATTTGAACTATAAAATTTACCAGTAGTTGCTGTCTTAGGTATAAATCTGCTGTGTTATAAGACCAGGATCACATACATTCAGGATTTCGGGCAGAATGACATTTTGGCATTTGTGCCACGCGAACCTTTCCAGCATTCTTGAAGGATCATTAAAGATGTATGGGAGGCTCTGCAGAAAAATTTAGTTCAGCATAAGATGATTAAAAGTAGATATGTTTATAATTACTCAAAGCCCATCTGAACCCTCTCTTGGTATCACTACTGTCTGCCAAACAATGGCTCTTTCTAACTATAGGAAGTACAGTACTTGTTTGCTTGCCTGGCCACCCTTGCTAACCATCATTACCTGGTTGCACCATGATCATTGCAGGGTTCCCAGATCCAGACTGTAAGTGGGAGATGTTTTCTTTCTTCAGTGCCTGTTCTGGGGAGTCTGTCCTTTTGTCCTTGTTGGGTTTTGATTTGGCATCTTCTGGTTAATACTGTCGCCTCTTATTCTTCACTATTGGTGGAGATGCTGTTGCTGCTGTAGCTTTCATTCGGCATCGATGCAGCTTCAGCACCATTCTGAAAGTTGTCTTGGGTGTTCTTTCACATTCGGCTTGCTCGTGCTTCTCCTGACCCATCTTTGACTCTTGACAGTATCTTGGTCTTTCTTTCCTCTACTTGGTTCCCAGTTGCTCCTTCAGTCAGGAATATTTTCCTCGCAGCGATACTTGGAGTTTTCTGCTCTTCTCTGGAGGAAGGAGTTCTGTTTCTTCGACCCCTGGTGGGTCACCTGCAGCCTTCTCCTCCTTTTCAGGTGAGGAATGAGTTGGCTGGCTTCCAAAGCGGTCCTTGGGTGGTTGATGTTTGGTTGGCCTGGCTAGGGGTGCATCATTGTTGTCTGGTGGCAGTACTTTGCTGCTACCTGTGTGTTAAGTTCTCTTAACACACAGGTAGTTCTCAAGTTCTCAAGTTGCCTCAAGTTCTCTCTCAGTGGATGCCTTGTTGGTTGGCCATTTTCCTTGGACCCCATTCCAATGCCTGACTTTCTTAGTTTGTCCAGTGTCATCAGAGCTAGCCAGCTTGCAGTCTGTTCTCAGACCCATGATGATTCTAAAGTACACATCATTGGCTGCTGTTCTCTCCAACATATCATTAGCTGATTTTTGGGCATGGGGTTATAGTGGCCTGGTATTTGGTTAACCTTTGGCTGTGCATCCATTTTATGACAATCCCCTGGTGTGCAAGAAAAAAATCCTGATTTTTTTTCTTTCTAATACAGTACAGTGTGTCCTCGCTTGAACTACACCTATATAGTCTACTTGGCTTAGTTAGTGCTTTATCTTGATAATTAACTAACATGAACAAACTATAGCATATGGGGCAAGGCTGATTCATTCCATAAGGGATTTTGTCCTACCCGTCAGACCCCAGGCAACCCTTTTCTCCTCCCCAGGGAAATAAATTATTGGGCCTACATCCTATATACTGTAATCACTTATCTGAGAACAAATTTCATAATCACATTTGTCCTGTTCTTTATTCATTATAGCATAAAACATTGTCCAGTATGTTTTTGCTTGAAACACAGCATTGTAGTACCAAATAATGTAGAAGAAAAATAATATAACTACCAGTATATAATATTTACAGTGTTACCTCAGTTTAAGAGTTTAATCCGTTCCTGAAGACAGCTTGTATTCCGAAAGCTTGTAATCCGAAGCTAATTTCCCTATAAGAAATAATGGGAAATTAATCCGTTCCTGCCTACCCAAAAACCTCACTTCAAACTAAATTTTATACCTAATTTATCTAAATAAACCTTGAAAACTATGTTCAAGTTATTACTTACCCTTGCTGATGAATGCTGTTGGGGTATGGAAGATGGTGCGGAGGGGAAAAGAGGAGAGGTTCGACGCAGGTTCGAATCCTCGTCACGGCCCTTGTGGATTTGTTCAGGAGAGGTGTTACTGTTTGGAAGGGGAGTCCCCTTCCATTATAACATCAGGCAGTGAGGACCTCTCTGGGGTGCACTCCCTGGCACATTTTGCCTGCATACCACTAGGACTTGCTTTTCTTATTAAGAATCTGTCTAAAGACACTTGTTTTTCCCTACTTTTTAACACTTGTCTGTACAGTAGTAAGACATCACATTGTCTTTTAAAAAGGGCAATGCAATGGCCTGCTACAGCTTTATCTGGGTGAGTTTTTTCAACAAAACTTTGCAGTTCTTCCCATACTTCACACATTTTCTTAATGAAGAAGGGACATCCTCTACTGCCTCTACTCTCAGCTATTTTCTTAGGTTGAACCTTACCACTGGCTTTCTTGAGACCTATGGCGAGATATATAACAACTACTTTTATGCTCAAATGGCCTAAAAATGATAAAAACTGTAAATCCTTGTAAAGAATTCAGGCGGGATAGTCACTGGGCACGAGGCACTGGTAAACTGAGGCGCGATCGCCGTGCTACCTCGCGCTAGTCGGCCTATACGCATATCAACACCCTCGTCTTCCGAGGCAACCCTCGCCTTCCGAGGCAAATTTTCCGAACAAATCCTGCTCGTATACAAGGACACTCGTATTCCAAGGTACCACTGTAGTACCTAAAATACTTTAGATTTTAGGTACTACAGTGATTTTATATTTACTACTATGTGTAAGTATTGCTTCACAACCTTATGATTTCACCAGTGTTTTGACCTGGGATGTGGCAGAATGACAAACATTTTATCATGGTGTTGTGAGTTCTGTTATATACTTGTAAGAACTCTGTTGAAAGAATGCAGGTGTCTTTGTTACTTGAAAAATCATTTTTATATTATTTTCCTGCATACTCTCATTTTTTTTCAGTGGACAGTGATGTACTTAATCCTGAGCCTCGTGGGAAAATTGAAGAATGCTTCCTCAAATTGTCTTTGGCAGAAAATGGTAAGATAGTGTTCATGTTCTATCTGTTTTTAGTAGCTTCCAAGTAGAAGTAGCTCCATTACATTAAGCTCAAGTGTCTTTAGACACTTGTAATGCTTCCAGTCCTCTAAACTTGTTCAGGTCCTCCCAACACCAAGAATAGTCTGGTGTTCTCATACAGGAAAAGGAAGCATGTGCATTAGATATTGACGTGAAACCAAGAAAAGCTGCTTAGAAAGTACAGGCGAGGCAAAGCAAACCACAGATCTTGGAAAATAATGGCAACAAAGCATTGGTACAGTGAATCCTTGCTTAAACCTTGGTCTAATGAATTCCTGGATGGTTTGATCATTGTGTTCATTGCAAATTATTCAGTGAAGCATACAAATGTTCGACCAAGTGATGATTGTTCATCCATGCTGTTGCCAAGGCTGAGCATCAAGATGCAGCTGCATTAGCCCTCTAATCCAATTCTAAACTATTGTACAGTATTTAAAATCTTTTAATTAACTTACATATGACATAATATAATTTGTAAAATATTATAACATACTAATGTATAAAAAATCTACACAGAAGAGCCAAAAGTGACTATTATTGTAAGAAAGACGACTTTCTATGTCCACTGTTGGTAAATGTGTAAAGATTACTTTCATAATTTACATACATGTACAAGCTCAGAAATGTCTTAATGGGGACAAGGGTTACAACTTGGATGGGAATCACAACTTCTCCACTGTGGTACTAGACTTTGCACGTATGCATACCAAAATCTGAGATTTTATAAAAATTTATATCAATGTATCCTCGCTTGAACAAACTATATAGGGTGAGACCATTTCATTCCATAAGGGTGTTTGTTCAACCCAAAGGCCCTTAGGCAACCCCTTTTCCCTAGGAAAGAAAACAAATAATCAGAGGGCATATATCCACTGTAATGCATATGAAGGTTATGACTTACCTACCAGGAGAGTAGTGTAGTGAAATGTCTTCATAAATAACCTTGAAGCACATCTAGGTAAATACAAATACATCATAATCTACCTTTAATTTTATATTAAAAAATCACAATATATTTATTATTTTGACTGCCATATGATTGAGCAATCATTAGTGAATAATTCTATATCAAAGTCATGACTATGTGACGATTATTTGTGGGCGCAAACATGATGTAATGGTCTGGATTTACATAGACAAACTCAGTATAATGAAACTCCGATTTCTGAGTGAGCCCTGGTGGCTCCCTGTAGTTACCATCTCTGATGCATGTGTTATCTACTACCTTGAGGTGCTTCCGGGGCTTAGCGTTCCTGTGGCCCGGTCGTCAACCAGGCCTCCTAGGTGCCATCGGTCGCAGAGTTCTCAGGCTAGAGCCAGGACTTGGTTTCCTCACAGAGGTGCAGGGAGGGGTGGGATTTATATATTATTCGTTTATGCCACCACCAGGGAAGGCACTCAGAAAGTCAGCAAGGCAAAACATATTACAGTTGGCTACTTCCTATACCTACAGACTAAAACAGCCAAAGAATTCCCCCAAACTTTGTAAACAAATGACTGAAAATGTGAACTAGCGCTCGCTCGTTCACCCCACCCTTCCCCTCGTTTGGGGGAAGGAGGGGGGCAGCCCATGGCTCACAGGCTGCTCCACCTTCAGTTCTTCTCTGATGTGTGTTAAGCTGTCACTATTGCCTGGCCCCTGGGAAACTTTTTTGTGTTTTGCAAGTTGTCTCATGCTTCGTTTCACCTCCGACCTGCTCATGTGCTGCCGGAGCTGGTGTGGACAGGCTGCTCCATTTTCTCTTATCCATTAGGTTCTCTGTTTTCCCTTCGGAACGGGTATATTGATTTAGTGTATAGTTTCTTAGAAATGACTTGCTGGTCCATGGGCTGGATGAGTCGTGTTGGGGGTCAAGAACTTCTGTTATGCAGTTAAACATGAGCAGTAGCTCGGCCTCTATGCCTGGAAGATGAGCATTGTCCATCACAAGAGGGGCCCCTTCACTGGCAATTGTTTCTCCTTGAGATATTAATTGCCAATAGGACCAAACACTTCATTTAACCCACTCAACATAAAAATTCCTGGTTACTCAAGCTTTTCTGTTAGCCCTCCACATTACCTGTAAATTACTTTTCATCACATTGTTTTTCATAAACACCCTCGGGTTCTCAAAGTTTAAAAAAAAAAAATCATTTATTATAAAGTCCTTATTTTGACTGTGACATGTGATAGAGTAATCAGTTACAAACAGTTTGGTATGAAAATTCTACAGAAACCTCAGTATTCAAATGACTTCCAATTTAAACATTTCAGCACTCGAGCATTGTGTTTGTGCTCTGTAGTTTACTGTTTGCCTGGAACTCAATCAATCACACATAACAGAGAAGTCAGTTTACCAATAACTGTTGTTCAGTGTGCAACACCACTATACTTCTCTATAAGCTTTCTTGGGTACTTTTTTATATTCTGGGCACGTCAGTGGGCTTGGAGGTAATGTAGTAGTGATGTAGTTAGTGAAGGAGCACAGAGCCGACCCTATGTACCCATAGGTTTCCAGATTGTGTGCCAGGTTTTTCCTGAGCTGTGTGCTAGGTTGTTCCTGGGCTGTGTGCCATGTATTCAGTGGCTCTCAGGCTGTGTGGTCAGTGGTTTTCAGGTTGTGTGTCTGGTTTTCAGGTTGTGTATTGTGGTTGTCAGATTATTTTCTCTGTGGTTTTCAGACTGTTTACATTGTGATTTTTTCAGGCTGTGTGCTATATTTCAGGTGTGCCAAAACGTGTCTGGGCTTTGTGCTTTGAATGCTCCTCGTTTCTGTGCCCAAATATTTCCAGGCTCTGTGCCCGGGGGTTCCCAGGATGTTGGTCCAATTGTTTCCCAGCTGTATGTCTGTATGGGCTGTGTCTGGACAGTCTCAAGCTAAAAAAAATGTATCAGGGGTCACACTGTCTTATTCTTAATGCTTCAGATTTGCTACAAATGTACTGGTGTCTTACTGTGTACTGTACTACTGCATAATTATTGTAGATCAATTTAGCCTCCTGATAGCAAATTTGGGAATTAATATGTTAAGCTTATATTTGAAAATAAATTTCTGAAAAATCCTGTCCTGTATTATAAAATACTGTAATGCTAGACTTTGTAACCTCTCTATTCGCTATTTTTTAATTAATTATTTTAACTTTTTATTAGGAAGGGATTAAGATCAATTTACCTAACATAAACTATGGTTGGTAATGAATCAATCTTTTGGTTACCTTAATGAGATCAAGCCACTAATCTTGTTCATACAATATTTGCCTTTTACTTGTTAATTTAATTTCATTTAGATGTTATTTATGATTTATCAGATTACCACCTGAGCAAACAAGTTCCTATCCTTGACGATGTTCCAACCCCATTGGACTTGTATCGAGATTGGGTAGCTCCTAATAGACCAGTTATATTTCGAGGAGCTGTCAGAGAATGGCCAGCCATCAAAAAGTGGTCTTTTAAGTACCTTAGGTAAGATTATTGATGCATTTGTAAACATTTTTTACAAACTTACCCTAAAACAAACAAACTTGAAAGATAATTGCCTCCCCGCATGCTCCACATTCCTGATTTCTATCCAATGCTGGCCCTCTCAGTAGCTTTCTGGAGCTTATGGACTGAATATTGCCGAGCTTCCCAATCATACCAGGCTCCACAGACTCGTGCAATCTTAGTGGAAACCCTGAATCAGAATCTTACTCTCTCATAAAGGGGAGAGGAATATTGGAATCGGAGATCAACCTAAAAGTTGACAAAACTGCCCAGTAAGAGAGTCAAAACAAAACAAAATGCTGCTCTTTATAAAGAAACTACTGTATTTCCCAGCAGCGAAGACACTGTTTTTTTACCCTAAAATAAGAACCAAAAATTTACCTGCAGTTTGGATGGTGGGGTTAGAACGCTTATAGGGCTATAGGAAACTTTTTTGGTACTATATGGCAATCAAAACACCTAAATTATTGGCACTGTCTCAAAACTCTAAAAATGTACTCCCTGGAAAGGAGACGAGAGAGGTTTCAAATATTATATACTGAACATGAAATATTTCAGGTTGTGAAATATACTGGAAGGCCAGGTCCCAAATTTGCACAATAGAATAAAAACATATTGGAGCAAAAGATAAGGAAGGAAATGCAGAATAGAACCAGTGAGGAGTAGAGGTGCCAAAGGCAAAATCAGAGAGCACTGCCTGAACATCAGGGGGTCAACGACTCTTCAATACCCTTTCAGTAATCATTAAAAATATTGCCAGAACAAATGTGGATGTCTTCAAGAAATAACTGGACAGTTTTCTGCAAGAAGTGCCAGACCAATCTGGCTGTAGTAGACATGTGGGCTTGCAGACTGTCCAAGCAACAACCTGTAGCTCAACCAAACTCGCGCAAGTCGAACTTGGTTTTGGGCCGGGCTTGGAGTTCTTCACACTCTTCTTCGGTGCCAGGGTTTTTTCTGTTCCTTCAGCCCTGGGTTCATTTTGTTTGTCTGCAGCTGGCTCCTTCTTTTCTGGCAAAGAATGTGTCGGATGGCTTCTGAAAGGGCCCTTAGGTGGTGGATGCTTGGTTGGTTCGGCTGGGGGTGCATCAGGTGCTGTCTCTGGTGGCAGCTCTGTGCCACGCTACCTTCATACCACCGCTTCTGCTTTGTTGGACTTGATGTTGGGTGACCTGATTCCCTGGTCCCCCATTCCATGCTTGTGTTTCTCAAGTCTAATGCTCATTACTGGAAGGCCGAGAAAGTCTGGGGAGCTTGATGTTTTAGAGGGTGGTGAAACCCTGTGGTGCAAGTGCTCTGTGCTCTAGGGAGCTACTTAGTTGCCACACAGTCATTTCATTATATACAGTGATCTACTTATCAATCTGAAACTAAAACTCTAAAATGTGTTTCTGCTACAGAAAGTATGGTTATTAACCGTTTCCTATCAACTTTTAACACTACAGTACTGTAGTAGGAAAATGTTGCATTTTGGGTAGCTAAAAGTATTACTTGCTACCATTAATTTAAAATACTGCATATGTATATATTTCATACTTTTTGCATGTTCATCCTGTTTAAGTGTTTTTCAAAATTGTATCTCTTCACAGAGAAAAAGTTGGCAACAAGGAGGTGAGTGTGGCTGTCACTCCAAACGGATATGCTGATGCACCATGCAGTGGTTATTTTGTCATGCCAGAAGAGCGCTCCATGAAGTTTGGCAATTTTCTGAATATAATGGAAAATCCCAGTATCCAACCAGGGGTATGAATGTTTAAGTTATAATTATTTGTTTTCTTGGTGAACTTCATAGACAAGTAACATTAAAGAATCTAAGTGACTTACTACCAACTGAGTACTGTAACAAGTGACAATTATTTAATTTATTTTATTTCAGATCTAATGCATTTTAAGATTATGTTTACTGTATAGTTAGGTAAGGCATCTCTATTTTCAGTAGTACTTGGAACTTAACAGCTATTTTTGAGTCATATTCATTACTTATGTTATCCTTTATCCAAATAATACTCCACATAATAATCACTAAATAGGCATGTATACAGATAGCATTGTGGTACACCTAACAAATGGCAGTGCTCTCACTAATTAGTTATGTCCTTTTGAACAACCATGATGAATAATTCATTGATATATAGTTTCACATACTTTATTAGATATCCCTGTTAGGAGTGAATACAGTATGCTTGTGTCCGTTTGTTAGGTGTCTCAGTCATAGGGTGATACCATGGTTTGTTTGCCTCTGTTTCTAAACAGTATCCTGAGAATACTTTTTTAGGATTAATTTCAAACATAAAGTATTAATGTATCATAATACAGAGTTTAATATTGAGATTGAGTAGTGTAGGCGTCTAGTACTCATTTATAAATGAGCAGAACTTTGTCAAACTTACAAATATTTTCTAGTATTAGATGCATTTCTGGATAGTTTTACGTGTAATTAAAGGCACTTGGAGTTTTCTGAGGCCAGACCACCATGGTGGGGACCTTCCCTTGGGTACTTTAAGGAACTTTTGGCCCCTCTTTATAGAGCCATGGTTGGGGGTGAACATTTCTGTTGGTTGTGGCACACTGGGGGGTGTTGACCAAGGGTGTTGGCTACTCATGATTTGTGCCAGCAGCCCTTTCACAGTTCACTACTTTTTGGAGTAGCAAAATAAATCCTCTTAGGAAGGTACTGTTCTTAAATTGAAAATAGATTTTTGCAGTTTTAGCATTTTAACACTTCATTACAGGTATTTTATGTGCAGAAACAAAACTCCAACTTTACTATGGAGTTTCCAGAAATTATTTGTGATGCAGCCCCTGATATTCCATGGTTTACTGAAGCTCTTGGACGCAATCCTGATGCAGTTAATTTTTGGATGGGTGACCAGCGGGCCGTTTCATCAAGTGAGGATTGATTATTACTTTATAGTTGCCAGTTATCTTTTCCATCCATATACTGTATTTGTATATACCGTACCTGCAAAACCTTTTGAATAGATGGTTGCAAAAGATGGTTGTTTACATCTTGAAAACATAGATTAATAAAGAATTCGCACCATCATTTTACTAACATTTCTTTGTGTTTAACAAATGAACTCAAATTCTTTTAAAGCATTTTCTGGGAGAGCCCTTTGGTGGCTTTCTGAAGCGCTCTCACTGAGATGGCTCTGACTACTGATCACGTCAGTTGCAGGAGCCTTGTTTGGCCTTCTGGAGACCAGAGCCAGAGCCTGGCCTTCTCACAGAGATGCAGGAAACGGAACAATTATCATCCTCGCCAGGAAAGCATGCAGAAAATCAGGAAAGCTTTACAGACATCCGCAAGGTTCATAGAAAACAAAGCATTGAAGCAGCCAAATGACTGCAAATGATTTATTACAAACAATTGGTTCACTCAAAACTTGCTTGAAGCTGTTAGTTCAATTGTTCAAACAACTGGTTTGCTCGAAACTAGCTTGAAGCTGTTAGTACCGATGGCCACCAGGCACCCTGGAAACCCCGGCCCACAGCCAACTTCAAGGTCAGTCATGTCACTGTTGTGGTTGATACCAGTACCATGCTCCTCAGGTCACTGTCTTTTGCAGCAGGTCCCACTACTTAGCTAAGTGCCAGCCATTCTTCAGAATTTGTCCAGTAGGGGTCATTTAATTGTTCTCATTCTCTTATTTTAGTATTTGCTTCACATGTGTGTGTTTACTTCCTGATAATCTTGCATTAACCTGGCAATTTCTTGGGGAGACCCCTGTGGCTTCTTAAAGCTATCATTGATAGTGTATCATCTATTAAGTCACATGAGCTATGAAGTTCTATTGGCTTATATGTCCCCCTCAATGGAGGCGGAGGGAGCAGGGACATTTATTTATTTATGCCAAAACAGAGGAAGGCACCCAAAAAGTCAGCAAGACTAAACCACTGATGGCTTGAGTCGAGACCACAGCCTCGAGAACTGCAGCAAGAACTCCCTAAGTAATGTAAACAAATGACTGAAATCTCTTGAAACTGGCACCAGCTTGTTTGCACCACCTCCCCAACTCATTTGGGGAAAGGAACCCTGCAAGCATGGGTAAGCAAGTACAAACACTCACATGCCCCTTGGGTTCTGAGAGAATGTGCACCTGTGCTCAAAATTCCACTTCAACTGATATTCCAGACATCTTTGTGTACAGGATTCTTACCAGATGTATGGAAAAAGGTAATCATAATTCCAATCTTCAAAAATAGTAGTAGTGAAGACCCTCTAAATTATAAGCTCGTATCATTAACAATTGTGGTAGTAAAAACACTAGAAAAAATAATTAAAGCCAAATGGGTAGAATTCCTGGAGAGAAATTATATAATAACAGTAAGGTTTTTAAGAAAAAAGATTCTGCTTAACAAATCTACTTAGTTTTTATGATTGAGCTGTAGAGATTGTAGAGAATAGAGATGGTTGGGTTGACTGTTTATCTGGATAAAAAAAAATCACTGAAAGAACTCTCAACAACGTAAACAAACGATTGAAAGGTCATGAAACTAGCGCAAGCTCGTCCACCCCACCTTCCCACCCCCTTTCCTCGGTTGAGGGAAAGAGGGAGGAACACTGGGTCAGCCAGCTGCTACACCCTCAGTTCTATGATAAAAAAACCACCCCTGACTCCCTGGAGTAGGGAGGGTGTCAAGGAGTTACTGGGACTCGCCCAAAAATAGCATTTCATTATATTCAATGCTGGTTTTCTGGGGAGAGCCCCCTTGTGGCGTCCTGAAACTACCTACCCATGAAAAAGGAAAACAAGGGGACTTACCAGGGAGGGAGGAGCACCGCAGGTATTACACCGAAGAATCTACGGGTTGCGACACACAACCTAAGGCCACTCAAGACCGACGAATACCAGGAACATTCATGGCTGCCAGAACCCTGTTTGACCACCAAAATCCCCACACCCGAATATCGACTCAAGACATATTGCCACACATGGCTTAGACAGTGGCAAACTTACGAATGTCATGGCACGAGGGTAGACCGCAGGCTGGCTAGAATTATTAACTCTGTGGATGACCCGAGAAACATGAGTCCTGGAACAGGGAACCAAGGAAACCAGAATAACCCACAATGAGTCCACTGAAGCAGAAGCGGTGGCACGAAGGTAGTGGCGAAGAGCCACCACCAGACATAGAATTATAAATTATAGACCTGTATTTAGGAAATTGCCCCTTTTTTCCCAGAAACAACCTCCTCATCTGCCCCAACACACCCTTCCTATCTTTCCCTATACATCTTTCTAGTCTCCAACCATATACACCCTCCTAGTAATGTAAGTTGAGGGAAGCTACCAAGGTGCAACCCAGGAAGGGTCATTTCATTTCACTTGATACTCTATTTTTTTAAGTTCAGTAGTTATTTTGTCATTTAAGCTAGAGTATTTCAGTCTGCTTGAGAAGATGAATTTTGATTCATTGTCAAATAATGTTCACTTGAGGTGTTGATATACTGTATTGACATTATTTGTTTGTGATGTTTCAGTATTGTATTTAAAAGTAATTTTTCTCCACAGTGCACAAAGACCACTATGAAAATATTTACTGCGTGATATCAGGTTACAAGGACTTCATCCTCCTCCCACCTACGGACTTACCATGGATTCCCTACAAAAGCTATCCAGCAGCCAGTTATAAGGAAGTCACTGCTGGAAACTTTGATATCCAAGAGAACACAAACACGGGATCTGTGCCCTGGATTTGTATTGATCCTCTGAAACCAGACCTAAAAAAATATCCACAGTATAGACTTGCCAGTCCTGTACATTGTAGAGTACAAGCTGGAGATGCCCTTTATCTCCCCTCACTTTGGTATCATCATGTTCGACAGTCCCATGCTTGTATTGCTGTTAATTATTGGTATGATATGGAATTTGATATTAAATATAACTACTATAAATTAGTTCAGAATCTTTCATGGGTGACAGAGCCTGAATAAAAATGCATTTTTTCAAATTTACATTTATTTGAAAAACTTTAGATAATGCCAAAAACCTATCATTGAATGTAATGAAACGCTTCTTTCTGGACGAACCCCGGTGGCTGAAGCTATCTTGTTGAAATTGCTCCGTGCAATTGGGTTACATCATATGCAGGATTTCAGTTTGGCCTACCAGGGACCAGAGCCAAAACATGGCCTTCCCCCTCACAGAAGCACAGAGCAAGTGACAATTTGTCACCACACAGGGAAAGCATCCAGACAGTCAGTAAAGTTCTACAGATAACTGAAGGGTTAACAAACACCAGAGCCTTGAAAAGGCCAAACAACTCTGCAAATGATTCACACTAAGAAGTGAAACATTCAAGTAATAGTTATCAAAGAAGGCATCACGTCGGGAAGACTATGTAACACCACCTGTGTTGCAAGATATTCAGAAGGTGCTAAATATCACTAAATAAGCCAATATGAGAACAGGAGAACATAAAGCAAACAATATTAAAGGTATCGGACTCACTAAGGATGCTTTATAACAAGACACAACCGATCCCTAGAGACTTTAGGAAAGCAAGACACCCAAATGTCCCAAAAATCATGGCAATCTATATGGAAGTGTACAACTGTAAGTGGGGACAATGCAGTTTGGGCCTATTTGACTCATGGTTATTAAGTGATGACTCATGTAATTGAGTGGCCATGAGTCAAGTAGGCATGATCAATACGTAACCTATCCAAAACCGTTTCCCATCACTTATTACAGTGGCAGGAGGAAGGCCAAGGGGAAATGGCATATTTAAGAGCACATAGTTTATTATCTGTACAGTAATGCCAATCCAATGGTAGAAGACTGCATTATGAATGACTGGGTAGAAATCCAAAGAGGGTATCCCTTTCTATACTTCCAGAGGCTTTAGGGCACTGCGAGAGTCAACCACAATGACAAAGGAGCATTGATGTGGGGAAACAGCTGATGAACATACAAAATAGCATAAAATTCTGCCATGAAGATGCTAGTCTTCAAAGGTAGATAGCACATATAGGTCCAATCAGGGAAAAAACAACTTAGTAGCTGACACGGTGGGCAAACTTAGACCCATCACTGAACAGAGCAATGAAGTTAGAGCGAGAGGAAAAATGTTGTAGGAAAAGGTTTTCAATACAGTAGCAAAGCATAACCCGCCAAACAAATGTCGAAAAATTGCTAGAACGTTTAAACAGGTTGTAACAACTATCTAACACAAAACTTTATAACAAGATATAACATCTTAGTAACAAGTTGTAATCAGGTAATAATAGGGACCGTTACAGTGCATGTTTGCAGAGAAGCCTGCTCCATATAGACTAGGGACCTTCACTGTCAGGTCAAGGACTTTGCCCCCTCCATGAGGGCAAAACAGGAACATAAGAGGTATTGTTAATGCAAACTGAAAGAAAGGCCTGTAAATGAGCCACCCTAGCAGGAAGAGAAACGCAGTGTGAGGGAGCAGCGCCCTCCTAAAGAGCAGTGTTTCAGCCTACAAGCTCTGGGCAGGGGATGACCAAAAGGCAACAGAGCTAAGGTATAGCTTGGTATGATGCAGAACATCATATGTACTGTATATGATGGCAAAGGGTCGATGGAGAGACAAGGAATAGGCAGGGTTTATCTTGAGATGATTTGATGATTTTATCTTGAGATGATTTCGGGGCTTTAGTGTTCCCGCGGCCCAGTCCTCGACCAGGCCTCCACCCCCAGGAAGCAGCCCGTGACAGCTGACTAACTCCCAGGTACCTATTTACTGCTAGGTAACAGGGGCATTCAGGGTGAAAGAAACTTTGCCCATTTGTTTTGCCTCGTGCGGGAATCGAACCCGCGCCACAGAATTACGAGTCCTGCGCGCTATCCACCAGGCTACGAGGCCACCATAATCTTGTTTCAACAGGACAAGAGAGGAGCGCAAATAGAGGAGGGAGCACTATCAGCTTCCCAGAAAGTATGGACAAGACCTTAAGCAAGCTTAGGGCCTCAACTTGAGTACTCAACTTGAAGGTGAGCAGTATGGAGTGCCGAAGATAAACAGGTGTCAAAGATCAGCCCCTAAGAGTTTGGCAGTATCTTGGTACGCAAGGGAATCATCACAGGGTGACAACTGGGAACGAGGAATGACATGCCTCTAAAAATCATTGCACATGTGTTAGACATGGAGAAATTTAAGCCATGATTTGTGGCCTAGGATGACACATTATTAATTGTAAGTTGGAGCTGTCATTGAAGGTAAGAGGGTTTGTCACTATGGCAGCAAAGAGGTGACAGCATCAACATAAAGGGCTTCCTTTATTACCCCCCCCTTCCTCCTTTTTACCAGGGAGGAAGAGAGGAAGGGAGACCATTCAGGGCAACCAGAAATAGATTTTTTAATATTGAACAAAGACCATTCATGGCTGTCACCCAATTGTAACCCTCCAGTGTTCTGTAAAGGTTCATTGACTTTCTGAATGCTTTCTTGGTGTGGTGGTGAATTGTCACTTGCTCTCTGTGCTTCTGTGAAGAAGACCAGGTTTTGGCAGTGGTCCCCAGTAGGCCAAAGAAAATTGTCATGGCTAATGTGACCCAATTGCACGGAGCAATCTCGGTGAGCTTTTTAACGGGAGTCCCTTCAGATTTTTTTTTTTTTTTTTTTTTGCTAACATAAAACCCAGTACATCCTCACCATGAACATCTGAGTTACCATACAATTTGTGGTTATCTTGAGAGGTTATCTTGAGAAGATTTCGGGGCTTAGTGTCCCCGCGGCCCGGTCCTCGACCAGGCCTCTACATCCAGGAAGCAGTCCGTAGCAGTTGTCTAACTCCCAGGTACCTATTTACTACTAGGTAACAGGGGCATCAGGGTGAAAGAAACATTTTGCCCATTTGTCTCCGCCTCTACCCGGGAGGCAGAGACAAACTGGGACAAACAAACTGTGGGCATTACTAAAATAATGGTGAGTTATTTGTAATGTTTTTGCAATTTTCCATTTAAAGTACAGTATCGAAAGAGTTTGGTATGTCCTCTTTCTACTAATTTACAGTAAAGATATACTGTATATCTACAGATATAATGTATATATCTATATACAGATATCCTTTGTATCTACAGATATACTGTGTATCTATATATTGTATCTGTAGATATACAGTATATCTATATCTACAGATATACAGTAGATTGTTTTTAAAGTCAAAATAAATATAGTTTGTGAAAAAAACATTATAAAATAAAAAATACTTGTCAACATACTGCATCTTTAAATTCTAATTATGAAATATTCTGTATGTAATTTATAGAAAAACCAAAGTACTGTAAGTTCATATTAAAACAATTATAAATATAAATTAAAAATTGATCATTAAGCGTGTGTTAATTTTCTCATCATAAAATATAGTCACACAGCCTATAATGGGTGACAAAATATAATTTTTATATTGATGTTTTCACCAAGCATTAGGTTTGGATTATTTGTGTTTTGTAAATGATATCATGTTTCCTTGAGTTAAAAATTGTGTTTACTTGTAATGCCACCAATAAGCATGATAACACAGTAATTACCTAAGTGTAATTACAGGATGAGAGCTATGCTCGTGGTGTCCCGTCTTCCCAGCACTCTTTGTCATATAACGCTTTGAAACTACTGATGGTCTTGGCCTTCACCACCTTCTCACTTAACTTGTTCCAACCGTCTACCACTCTGTTTGCGAAAGTGAATTTTCTTATATTTCTTCAGCATCTGTGTTTAGCTAGTTTAAATCTATGACCTCTTGTTCTTGAAGCTCCAGGTCTCAGGAAATCTTCCCTATCGATTTTATCAATTCCTGTTACTATTTTGTACGTGGTGATCATATCACCTCTTTTTCTTCCGTCTTCTAGTTTTGGCATATTTAATGCCTCTAACCTCTCCTTGTAGCTCTTGCCCTTCAGTTCTGGGAGCCACTTTAGTGTCACATTTTTACAAACACATTTTTACAAACAATGATGAATTGATTAGGGAACCGATTGATTACAAATAACCATTAGTCGAATACCAAATGTCAGTTGTTTAATTTAGAAACTACTTGTTGATCTCGAACCCATTGATGATGTGATGATGTGTACTGAATTTTGTAACTAACTCAAGATTGTAACTTGCTTAGTTAATGAATTGTGAAGTTCAGTCCTTGAGCCCATTATGTACTTCTGTAACCCTTTCCACCACTGCCCACAATATGGGTATGGGGTGCATAATAAATGAACTAAACTAAAAACCAATATAATTGAAGTTCAAACATGCATGGTGTCAAGATTCTAGGTAGTCTAGCCAGAAGAAATTAGGTGGGACAAGCATGGATATAATGAAGTTAAAGAGGTAAATATTTGAAGAAGTCTCAGATAAGCGAGTTTCCCCCCTTCCCCCCACAAAGATGGGCTCCTTCAGCGGGTAGGCAGACATGGAACTGCCCACCGAAGCTGTAAATGCCCAAAACTGCTAAACTTTAATTTAAAGTTCAGCTTGAAAAAATTTTTGAAGACAAATTGGGGGACTTCTTTTAAGCATGCTGGCTTACTGTCCTAGTCGAGGCCACTAGTGTGTTAGTGGCCTTCAGGCAAATCCCGCAAAATAGGACTGAAAACATGAGATGCTTTTTCATCCATAGTTATAAACACATGAAACTGCCAACCTGCTGAAGCCGTAAATGTCAAAATGCTATTAAATTTCAAAAAACAGATGGGCAGAATAATTAGAACAGAGGGACCATTGACAAGCCGCTTGCTTCCTGGCCAGTAGAGAGAGAGAGTGGTAGTACACGGGTTCGTTCCCGACGGTCCGTCTAATTACCGCAAGCTACCACAAGCTACACAAGCTTCACTAAGCTTCCTGGCAATACGTTAGTAATGAATAAATATGATATATTTACTCATTATAATGTTGGTGCTGAATGTACAACACGAAAAAACATAATTTTAATCTGAAAAAGTATCTTTTTATAAAGAAATTAGACGAAAATAAAGAGCTGGTGATGCCAAATCAAGTTGACGATCCAAGCATCAGTTAGGTTAGCTTAGGTTAGGTCAACCTAACCTAACATACCATATTTATTCATTACTAACATATTGCCAGGAAGCTTTGGGTAGCTTGCGATAATTAGACGGACCCGTTCCCGACTCACAATCGGGAATTCCGGATTCGAATCTCTGGTGGGACAGAAATGGTGGGCGCGTTTCCTGTCACCTAATGCACCTGATCACCTAGCAGTAAGTAAATAAGCACCTAGGAGTTAGCTTGTTGAAGGGGCCAGCAATTCGACCCTTGGGGGGGCCTTGATATAACTGACCCTCTCATGTATATATGTTAGATGTTATATAATAACACCGGGAAGCAAAAATTCCAGAGCCAAGTCATCTCTCGTATCAGAAACGGTTGAAGGCCACTGGGCTAACAATACTGCAAACCAGGACGGACATCATTGAAATTATTAAAACACTAAACAATTTGGTGGATGTTGATCAAGAAAATTTCTTCAAAAGGTCAAATGTAACACAAACCAGGAGCAACGGTTTCAAGCTAGACAAGCCACAATGTAGAACCGAGAACAAGAGAGGCTTTTTTTACCTATAGGGTTGTAAACCCATGGAACCGCCTACCCGCCGAAGCCGTAAATGCCAAAACTGTTAAATTTTAAAGTACAACTGGAAACGATCAAGCCAAGCTTCGACAAGCCGCTGGCTTCCTGTCCTCGTCGAAGCCACTAGTATTAGTGGCCTCAGGTAAATATACATTAGGTGCTTATCTCCCGACACAATTATTTATTTTATTATTATTATTATTGAATTCAATTCAATGTTTATTCCAAAGAATATGTGTACAAAGAACATACAGTACGAATAATGTACAACTGTAGGGACAGGCGTTACACAATTTATGAAGCCACTATTACGCAAAGCGCTTTGGGTAATTATTATATTTATTATGAGATTTGCATAATTTCTGATACATAAATATCATTGATATATATTAAGTATAAAATTTAAATTTAACTTTTTAAGAGAAAGTGCCAACTAAAGAATTCTATTTCTTTCTTTATTATGCACTCCACTAAAGAAGAGAGCAAAGAGTACACTCGGGGGTGCTGAGAATGTTACACACAAGGATTGCGGGGATATTATAATTATTAGGATACAAGGATATTATAAGGAGTATAAAATAATGTCTCAATTAGCCAAGAGGCTACTTGAGGCGGTCCGTCTGAAGTGTTAAGGATCACTGTTCTAAAGTTACACTCTTTCCTTTACTTCTAATCTAAAGTTTATGTATAAATATATATTATATCTATAATGATATAAATGTAAGCAAATTTTAATTTTAGTGTTTTGTAATTACTAGATATGTGGAAAGATACATAACATTCTTAGTATAAACGTTTACGAACAGTTAGTTTGTTTACGTGAGTGAGACGACCGACGCGCGCGAAGCCCCGAGCTTACATACTACGGATATTTCTGTGACAGCGATGTAAGTTATCACAGACACTGTCTCCCTCTTATTAACCTTGAACGTATTACATAATATCTGACTGTCACAATGATTGTGTACATATAAAAAATTGGTGGAGGGTAGTAGTGGTAGCCACTACTCCCAGTAGGGGCTGGTCATGCCTCCACCACCACGCCTTTAACTCACAACTGGCCTAAATTAACCTTTTCTTAACGTAACATAGCTGACGTTTTCCTTTACCCAACCACATAATTCATCCAGGATAGAGTGGCTAGCAAGGCGAAGCAAGTTGGAGTTGTGGTGACTTCCTACAGTTGGTCAGATTTTGAGTTTGAATAATTCATGTCGGGGACAAGCAGCCTGTGTATATATGTATATGTATATACACTTTAGGCTTGTATCGAAGGCCATTCAAAGGGGACACAACTGATCCTACCCAGGATTCAACCCCACAACAGTTGCCTAACTCCTGGCTACCTATTTAGTGCTAGGTAAACAGAGGAATTTGGTGAAAGGAAATGTGCCCAACCATTTCTGTCCTGCAGAGTATTAGACCCTGGGGTTCTCGATTGTGAGTCAGAAGATAACCAAGCAGTAATACTGAGACCCTGAATATTCATTTCAGTCATAGATAATGTAATGTACAATTATGTTACATTGTTGGGTAGATTAGATACAGTGTTTAGTGAGTTTCATATATATTTAGTAGTCCTGGATACAGCAGTGTCATAGACATTGAGATGGAGCTTGGAGCAGAGCTGAGTGAGGCCGGAGTCGCGGAGCTCTTTGTGGGAAAGAGTTATAGCTGGATGTGGTCCTAATCTGCTGTCTGTTCTGTGTTGAAGCTGTAGTGTCTTGGGGTCGATTAGAACTGCCTATGCTGAGTGCTACATTCTTGACTGGAAATTGTACTGTTGTCTATTCTCATATCACTTCCTTACATTTGGTTACTACCCCTCACCTTTCTCTACTAGGATAGGAGGATGTGAGAACTGTTACCTGTAATTAGGGATAGGATTATAGCTTGTGTAGATAGTGCTAATTAGTTTCAGATAATGAGATAATGGAGCGAGTATAAGGATTACTTGCTACAGTATAATACTATACTATATAACATTATACTTGTTGTGACATCCAGTGAATGATAAATACTTTTATCAGTTGAGTTCTGTATTCTGTATAAGCCCTTGGGCTTGGCACACACTCTTAATAATTACAATACTTGTATTAAGTCTATTTTACTTTGGTTAGGGCAGCTTAGTAGAGATTTTGTTGAGTTATTTCCAAACAAAGTTACAGTATAAACAAATTAAAGAAAGGATAAAACATTTATTTGCGACATTCTGTCACTGAAGTGTTCTTGCATGCTATGCAAAAATTACTCTTTAATTACTGTATTCTGTATTTAATGATTCACTCTAATAAGGTGTAACATGTAACTTGGTTTGCAGCTACTGTATATATATAAATTAATGCCAAGAATAAAAGTCTTTGGTATATGTATCGAGAAATTGGGAATCTGCAGAAATAGCACTAAATTTTAATTATAAATATCTTGTTGTATATATTAATATGGCTAATTTAAAATTGATGTATATTACTAATTTAATAAAGGGTAAAGTTACCAGTTAGTAGAAATGTAGTTACAGGGTATTGACATTTAAGGCAGACAAAGTAATACATACATATGTATGTACAGTATGTATGTTTCAGTGTTATTACATTTGGCAACACTCACAATAATTTGCAAATTTCATGTGTGTTGGAATGCTGGCATCAAAGGATTCAGAACACCAGGGCCAGGTACCACAGTGTTTTGTGGCCGTTATTTCTAGAAACCATTGAGCATTAAAATCATATGTTATCCATGTTACTGGACATGGTTGCAGGGTGTTTAGTTCATCTATTATGCACCCCATACTCATCTTGTGGGCAGTAGTGGGAAGGGTTACAGAGCCACATAATGGGCTCAGGGACTGAACCCCACAATTCATCTAGATAAGCAAGTTACAATCTTTATGGTTTATTTACAAAATTCAATACATATTGTCACATCATCAATGGGCTCGAGACTGGCCACAAGTACAGTTTCTAAATTAAGCAACTGACATATGTGGGGAGCTAATAATTACCTAAGTGTGTAATTACCTATCTAATTACACTATTACCTAGTGTCACCATTGATATGTTTGTCCTGCACACCGCCCCCCCCCCCCCATCCAGTGGGCAGTGGTGGATAGGTTAAAATCACTTAGTTACTACCTACAGTTAGCAAACTGGGGATATTTAGCTAAGATTTCTGGTGGCAGATAATTTTGAATGAAACATTTACACATCTCTGGAACATTGCAGGGTGGGCCAATACTTTTAAGTGATGTTTTTATATTGTTTGGTTGAATTTATTTGTTGCTCGTTCTCCTGCATCAGGACACCCATTTTTGGCAGCTCATTCTTTGGGAACTATTGGAGATAGTTTCCAAAGCACAAGCAAATGCATAAACAAATGGCCCCTTAGAAATGTTTAAGGATGGCCAGCACTTAGCTTAGAAAGTTAAAGGACCTGCTGCTACCAATGCAACCCAGGAGCACTAGAATGCTGTTGAAGGCATCGCATGAGTGGCAGAACTGACTTGGGAGAGTTGGTTGAGGACTGGGGTTCTGGGCACCCTGGTGGCAGTTTAATGGTACCTGTGCTAAGTGTTCAAGTTAGTTTTGAGTGATTTGATAGTTTTGTTTGAATTGTTTGGGGTGTGGGTTTGGTGGGGTTTGCATCAGTTCTAGTGAACTTTGCAGCTGTCTGTAATGCTTTGCAGTCTTTCCGGATGCTTTCATGGTGGGTGGCAAAATGTTGCCTGTTTTCTGTGCTACTGTGAGGCAGTGGGCCAAGTTCTACTTCTGGTCCCTGGTAGGCCAAGCAGAACTCCAACGACTGGTGTGACCTAATAGATAGGAGCAATTCCAGCAAGATAGCTTCAGAAACATTCCAAGGGGCTCCTTGTAATCATGTAAACATTGGATTTGCTACACCACCAAGATACACAGATCATACTCTTCTCAACAGCCAGTTGTGTAGTCAACACAACTGTCACCTTTTTTTTGGGGGGAGGGGAGTAAAGAGGAAGGAGAGGCATAAGTGAAGGGAAGTATATAAGTGGGAAATACAGTGAGAGGTATGAAAGCAGGCAGGCTGTCCGCCTTGCTGTCACAATGTGTGGGTGTTGGCAGCTAAGCTAAGCTGGCTCCCTCTTGTCAGGGAGCTGTGAGTGTGTGAGGGGTTCTTCACATGTGTTTCACCATATGTGGATGTCTATAGATGAATACTGTATGGCATTCATATATACACACTCCTACAGGTCCAATCTCTGGCCCACAGTACATTAGTACATTATTGTACTAATAATGTAATGTGACTTAGTACATTATTACAAATTACTAGTTACCACCCTGCAATTTTGTGGGACTGTATTGTTGATTGTTACTTTGTTTCTTTTTTGCCATTATGTCTGGTTTTTGTGTGTTCAGACACTTAGTGCTTTGCAATACAGTATTTCTACAGGCATATTTTGGCTAATATTGGAATAAATATTACATCTTAAGACTTTATTGTGGTGTCATTTTATAGATAAAAGTTTCTGTGAAGGTATTATTTAAATTTTTAATCCAATTTGAACACCAATAAATTACTTTTAAGCATGTTGATACTGGTAACTTTTATCCCAGAAAAAATAAATTGCTGTACAGGTATTCAGAGGAGTGCATGTCATAATAATTGAAAGCCTTATTTTCTGTTGTTGTAAGCTTTAGTATTGCATAAATAATTTATTGCTATTAATAATTACTTAAATATTTCACAGATTTGAAATGGCTTGTAGTATATTTAATCAAAAGCATATTGATGATGAAGAAACCATCCGCTATTGGCTGTTTCCCCATGATAAGGATGGCACTCCTATTATGGAGGAGACAAAACTAGAAGAACTTGCTGCCAAAGTGCTTGCTCATGTTGCTCAATATACCCATCAATATATCTGGAATAACCAATCATTTACTCTCAAAGTACGAAAGCAAGCCCCATGTGATGGTACCTCAGGTAAGCTACAGGTTTTAATATTTGTCATATTTTGTAAGTGAAGTTGGTGATTTTTTCTTGATTCTATGTCACACAGAAACAACACTAAATGAATTTTAGGGATGCTAAACTCATCATCAAATAAAACATAACATTATACTATAATTAATTGTACAAAATGGTGCCATCAAAGACTTAAATATCAGTGGATTGAATTGGGGAAATTTCAGTGTGTACTGTATTGCAGTATAACCTACCAGCATTTTAATATATAAATATAAATTGTGAAACCCTTGAACTGTTCTATGTCTAGCATCACCCCCAACTTTATCAGTTCACCTTTGTGCGTGTAATTGTTTACTTCTTACATGTGATTGTTTACCTTTGTACGTGTAATATTAGTTACCTTCATTATTAGTTACCTTCTTGGATGTATGGTTCTTGCTGGATTGTAGAGAATACACGATTGATGACTTCAGCAGTTTATTGAGGAAGGTAACAAGTTGTTTATCTGGCCTGCCGAGGTCCTACCTACTCTGAGGTCTGTGTGAATACTGACTTTTACCTTGTCCTATTTTCTTGGGGGGAAAGGGGGAGTCCCTTGTGGCTCCCAGAAGCTATATGCTGAGATGGTTTCCATATACCGTACTAGGTTACATCAGCCATAGAGTTCTATAGGCCTACTGGGGACTGGAGCCAGAATCCAGCCTCCACATAGAGGTGCAGGGAATGGTGATATTTATTTTTGCCACCTCACCAGGTAAGGCAACCAGATGTAATTGAAACTGAAGCCTCAGAACTGGCTGAGAAAACTTCCCAAACTATGTAAACAAACTACTGAATTCTCTCGGAACTTACGTGAGCGCGTTCGCCCCCATCTCCCACTCATTTGGTGGGGCTGAATCTCACTTGCTACCACCTGCTGGGACTTGAAATCCCAGTTATAGTGCTGATGTAGCAGTTACTTGGTCATCGCTCTCCCTTACCGGAGATAGACTTACATGCTCAATGTTTATAGTGTGTTGGGGTCAACCTTCACAGCCCCCTTGAACCAAGCCATGTTGGCTTACATTTAGGTCAGGAGTAGCGATCCCAGTGCCTGGGTGTCCTGCTTGGTTTACCCTTCAGCCCCTGGAAACTTCCTGGGGGTTCAATGGTGTTATGGCCTGCTTAAGCCAGTAACCAGGTTCTTTCTGCGTAATGTGCCTTAGAGCCTCTTCTGCTATGATCCCACCCCAAGTTAATGAAGAAGTTCTCAAGAATTGGCATTAGCAAGTAATTGTGCAAGGACTAAAGAGGGGTAAACAAGATGCAATAGCACCTGTACCAATATATTATCTATCGAAGTACAGTATAACTACACTTATGTACACAGTCTCTTTCACACAGGGCCCTTAATATATCTGCAATGTTCTTCAAATCCCGGTGAGTCCACTATCTTCAAGTATACGTCGTCCACGCTCAATGGTAATCACCGGCGAGTTCACCTTCCTCAACATGGGCCAGTCCACACATCGTATTGTCATGATATCAAAATACCCCACATCTGCTCTCCAGAAACACATTGGCAGAGGGCTTCAGCAACACGCTGACAGGGTCACTAATAATATGGCAGAGGGCTTCAGCAACACGTTGACAGGGTCACTAATAATCACTTCCAGGGGTCTCTAACACCCTGGCAGAAGTCTCTAGCAACACACTAGCAGCACTTCTCAGCAGACAGCCACTACTGTTGTCTTGTAACTCCTCATGGCCAAATCCCAGGTACATCAGTCCACACAATATCACTGCTGAAGTACAACAGTTAACACACTGTCTACTACCGACGGCGGCCACTTGTTCTCCCAGGAACAAGTCGGGAGTTCTGGACTGCCCAAGGTGAACTCCTTTCCACAGCACAGTAGACTTTTCACATCACCTCAGTAGACATGAGTCATTAGCCAGACATAAAATATACAGGGAGAACACAGGATGGCAGCCCTTCACCAGGAACTATGAAATGTACAGTAATTGGATTCACAATCTAGATGGCATTGATATCATTACTTCACTCACCAAAGGTCATCGCCATCAACCTCACCTAACTGAGGTATGAAACAGGAGCCTTTCACAGATGCCACACATCAGCCAACAGATGGTGTTGTCTTCGTCTCACTTAATGCCTTGGAATTGGAGTGCAGGTCCATAGATGGCATCGATATCACCACACCTCACTCCATAGAAAGCATTCACATCGTAACACGTGATCTAATAGAGATCCCTTCCCCTCCTCTGAACCCTATCTCACTTCATGCGAGCTTGAGGGTTCATCATCCATGCCATGCTGCCTGTTGGGTCATTGACACCTTTGACCCTGTGTCCTGTGGGGATTGTTCTCTCCATGTGGCTCTTCTTTCTGACTCCCTTGATGAGGTTAGGGGTCTATCAGGTAGTAATTGCTTTGTGTGTTTGTTTTGTTAGGTTGCAGCAGTCTAGATTGTGTCTGATGCCCGGGAGCTGCCCCATTTAGTGTTTAGGGTCCTGGAATTGGAGGTGTTGGTGAACTTCCCTTGGCCCTACTGCACTACCTCTTCCATCCCCCTTTGGGCATGGTTTGTCCTTCCTCTGATCCTTCCCCTCCCTTATTCAGTCCTGAAGTGTGTGAGGGTTTCGGGGTTGGGGCAGGACTTTGTTTGGGATGTGGCTCTGTCAGCTCTGAGGGTTGCCTCTTCTGAATCAGGCACAGAGGCAATTGGGCAGGCAAGTCCTGCCGAAGCTTCTGGGTTTTCCTATCAGCCAGCCGCGCCTTCCTTTAATGCCTCTCTCTTGGACTCTGCTTTTCTATCCCGACTTGATAATGGTCCAAGATGGACCGAAACATCATTGTTTCTTCATTTTCTGACGTGTGGTTTGGTTATCATGACTTGACAGCTGCACAAGCGTTTGTGCGGGATCCTGATCTTTGCCTGTGTCATTTTTCCCCAGCTGGGTTTTGCTTTGGCAGCTGTTTTCATTTATGCAGGGCAGTCTATTTTGCCAGTCACTATTGTTGGGTGTGGGCCCCATTAGCCCTTTGCCAGCTGCTGCATTGCAGGCTTCCTCTTCAGGCTTTTTGGAGTTTGGTTCCTTAGTGCCTTCGTCCGCCTGCCGTCGCCCAGTGTCTTCACTGGCACCTCGGCCCTGGGTTGGGGGTTTTGTGACGAGCTCACCAGGCTGGCAGGGTCGTTGTCTCCTCTCCTTTGTCAGGTGCTCAAAATGGTGCCAGAATTTGCTGCCGTGTAGCATGTGTTGTTGAGGATCGGGATTTTCCCAGGCTTCATGCTTCGGCTTCATTTGTGCTGGTCTGTCATGGTTCATTGTATCAACCATGGCGGTTCACGTTGGCCCTTGGCTGTTTGGTACTGGATGCTTCGAGTAGCTCATCTATTGAGCTTTTGAGGTTTGACTCTTCATGCATATCATGTGCAGAGAGTGTCCAATGTCCTCATGGACAGTCTGTCCTGGTTCTTTCCTATTTCCATGGAGTGTTCAGTTGGTGCCGTCCTTTTCCTGAGGCTTTGCAAGACATTGAGGCTCCCAGATGTGGACCTCTTTGTGTTGGTGTGGAATCAGCGCCTTCCTTTGTAAGCAGCTCCATTCCCTGATCGTGAGAACTTCGTGGTGGATGCCTTTCACGTGGACTGCTCAAGATAGGAAACCCTGTACCTGTCTCCCTCGGTCCAACTGTTGCTTCGGGTCCTGGCCAGATTGGAATCCTGCCACAGGAGAGTGATCCGTGTGACTCCTTAGTGGCTGGGTCGGCTCAGTACAGTACAGTATTTTGCTGGTTCAGCCTTCTCCTTATCTTCATCGGGTCATCTTGGAGTGGGAGTTTTTGGGGGGGGTTGTATCGACAACTTTCCCTCGATTGGTTCCCACCTTTTCCAATCTTGAATTGGGATTCTCAGGATCTTCAGTTCTTCCTTGCTCTGTCCAGGTTGAACTAATGTGTTCCTTGGCCCTCCTTTCAGATGACCCCGTTGTTCCATGTCCATCTTGTCCCTGAGTTGGGGGCTTGTTTGCATCCCTGGACCTCCTGGATGTGTCCTGGCATGCTCCAATACATTCACGGTTCAGTTAAGGTTACACGTTCATTCAAGGTTCACTATTGATTTTGGCCTCTGGCTCATCACATTTTACGTGTTTGACTTGGGTCGTGGTGGCCCATCTTTGTCTTCTTGGTGTTTGGGTCCTGACCCACCCTGACAACTGGCTGGTGTTGGCTCCCAGCCAGTCAGCGTGTCTGCTGGCCAAGGTTCTGGTTCTTGCCCTTTCACTGTGTGCCCTTTGCCAGCTGCTGTGTTTCGGCATCTTCCAGGATTCTTCTGATATTGATTGGGGCTTTGTAACAAGCACTCGCCATGCTGGTCTGGGGCCATAGTTCCCTCGCTTTCATTGAGCTCACAATCCGGTGTGGGAGTTTGCTCGTGCCATGTGGTTTGCCCTGCTGAGGGTTTGGATCCCTCTGGGCTTCGTGCTCTGGCTCTTTTTAGACTGTCTTCCCATGGTATGTTGGCTCAACCAGGTGGGGAAGGGTTCTCTTCAGCCCCTGTCTCTTGGAGTTGGATTCTAGATGTACAGTACATCAGTTCGTCTCCTGGTTTCCTGGGATTGGCTCTCCGTGACATTCACGACATGGAAGTGTTCAACGTCTTGGTCGTCGGTCTTCATGGTTCTGTCTCATCTCCATAGAGTGGACTGTCACTGCCAACTTCTTTCTTGGGTTTGCCAGGTGTTCAGGCACTGACATGGACCTCTTCACATCGGCCTGGTTATGGTGCCTTTCTTCAGAGGCACCATTCCCCACTTGGAAGACTCATCGTAGATACCTTTGGCTGGACTGGTCAAGATGGGGACTATCGTATCTTTTGTCCTGGTTGATCCTTCTGACTCCCTGATGGCTGGCTCATTTTTTCAGGCACTGTTTGTTTGGTGGGTGGGTTTTCCCATCATAGAACTGAGGTTGGAACAGCCAGCTGCTCCACCTTCACCCTCCCTCATTCCCCAAAGCGAGGTGAGAAGGTGGGTCAAACGATTTGGTGCTAGTTTTATAACTTTTTGATCATTTGTTTACATTGATGGGGGAGTTCTTCTACTCCCCAAGACCGGCCCAAGGCCAGGCTTGACTTGTGAGAGTTTGGTCCACTAGGCTGTTGCTTGGAGCGGCCCGCAGGCCCACATACCCACCACAGCCCGGTTGGTCCGGCACTCCTTGGAGGAATAAATCTAGTTTCCTCTAGAAAATTTTGGTGATTTTGAAGCATCGATATTTCCGTATAACCAGTGGTGGTCTATTTTGTCTCGCTGACTTTGTGGGTGCTTTGCTGGTGGTGGCAGACATGGCTAAAATTCACTTGACAATTTTGATCATAGTGCCACTGCTCTCTGTGCCTCTTTAGAGAATGGGCCAGGTTCTGACTCGTCCCCCGGTAGGCCTAAAAGAACTCTGTGACTGATGGCACCTTGTAATTTGGCACTGTATTATCATTGTAGCTTCAGGGAGCCACTGGGGCTTGCCCAGAAATTGGCATTTCATTACATTCAATGCTGTTTTTTTCTAGGTGTGCTTGGTCCTCACCTGGGTGGTGTGACTGTAGTTGGGGACCTGTTAGAAGACGAGTGGTTTATTGTTTTCCTCCTGCTCAACCTTACCCGAGACTTCTCGGGGCTAGTGTGTCGGTAAGTATATAAGAGCATTTAGTATAAAAGATATTCCAAGGTTAGTGTGTTGTTAAATAGAGTAGTGCTGGCAGTGTGAATAGACTTTAGACCTAGTGTATTGGTAAATAGACTAGAGTTTCTAATATGAAAATTGTTCATCTAACGCTGGCATGGCTAGTTTGTCCTGTATGTGGTAGTGTATAATTTAAGCTACTAAATAGCACCTGACAAATGGGCATGTCTACACTTCACTGTTTCTGGGCTGACCCTCATAAATAGCCACCTGAAGTTTGCTCCTGTGGCACTTCAGGACCCCCTCCAGGAACTGTCAGGCTTCCGAGACTTACTTGGTCACTTGGGAGCATGTACCAATATCTTGCTCGTCTGTGTGATTCAGTCTGGCAGTACTGAGGCTATGAAAGCCTCAGTATTGTTAGAGCCACCAAGGCTGGCGGCTGCAGCTGGTTCTCACAGCACAGCTGTGCAGGTCAGGGCCACAGCAACACTTATTGGCGATGAATAAAATAAGTAACTGTAATTATTTTGCATTAATATTGTCATAGATGATCCTGACTGTGATAAACTCAATGTATAACATTCAGATTTCAATGAACACAATGCTAGTTATGATGCTCACAGCGTGAGGTAGAGATTCAATGTGTGTGTGTGTGTTAAAAGAGAAATACTGTATATGTAGTAGATATAATGGAGAAAAATAGATCGTTTAGAAAGGCGGGGTTAAAGAGCTGACAGTTGGATTCTGCAGACACAAATAGTAAATACACACAGACTCCAGGAATTGTTTGTGTATGAAAATGACAACGACCTCATCGTCATGAAACGACCTCATGCTCCTTTACAATATAACTTTGTGGAAATGGACTCATATTCAGAATTTCGTGACAAGAATGTGAAAATAACAGCAGTTCTGTGGCTAGTCATAGCGCTGTGTGTAGTACTGTACTGTATACTGGAGGCATTTTCTTGCATCAGGTGATTGATGGCGTAGTCTGCTCATATCGTGTGGCTCCATGCTATGTTTTGATTCACTCACCACACCCATCTGAACTGCTTATTGCTCCATTATGGTGCATAAATATGTTGATAGATATATATGATGTGTGTATATGGTGTAATAACAGCAAAAACATAGTTATATTGTTCAAGTAATATATGTCATTAAATATAGGCACCTTAATTTTGAACATAGCAATATCTCACACATTTAATGATATAAATTACTCAAATTACACACTATTAATTAATATTACTGCAAAAAACTGTATACAAAAATAGTCAGAGACTTTTAAATATTGATGTAAAAATATTTTTAAGGCCACTCCTGGAACCCGTCAGGGCTGGAATATACCAGCTGGCGACCACGCTCTCAGATCGGGCTATTCATGCCCGTGCCACCTCTTGGGTGGCTTAATCTTTATCAATCAATCAATCTCTCGGATCCTCGGCATTGCCAGACTTCCTCGCCCCATCATAGCCAAAGCTATGACACATCCAATATATTTTGATTAATTTTCCAATGATCAGGGAACAGATGTTAACAATACTGTACAGTATTAGAATGGGAAAAAGTTTTGGGAGGAATACTTGTTCTGGGTGGGGAACCCCCCTTGTTGCTCTGTGAGTGTGTGAGTGAGTGAAAGAGATAGTGAATTGTTCTTGGTAAATCTCCAAGCTAAAAGCTATCCTCCCTTATCTCACCTGAAGCCTGACTTTAGAAACAATTATATGACGGGTGTAATATTTGTATCTATTACGAATAAATTACATTTCATTCTAAGTAACTGTCATGTAAGGAAGAGGATAAACCAGGAGCCAACTGTGTGCCACAACTCTCATATGGTCAGTTGACTTGATTTCACTCATATGGACATGTTGAGTGAACAAGTTGCAGGTGCAGTTCAGCCTAGGAATGAGTGATTGAGTGATAA